TCCTGGTTTTTTTTGCTCTCCATTTGCTTGGTAAATCTTCCTCCATCCCTTTATTTTGAGCCTTTGTGTATCCTTGCATGTGAGATGGGTTTCCTGGATACAGCACACCGATGGGTTTTGTCTTTTTATCCAAGATGCCAGTCTGTGTCTTTTGATTGGGGCATTTAGTCCATTTACATTTAGGGTTAATATTGTTATGTGTGAATTTGATAGTGCCATTTTGGTGCTAGCCGAGTGTTTTGTCCTTTAGTTGAGCTGGTACTTGTTGTTCCTTTATATGTGTAGAGCCTCTTTCAGGAGCTCTTGTAGAGCTGGCCTGGTGGTGATGAAATCTCTGAGTACTTGCATGTTCCCAAAGGATTTTATTTTTCCTTCACTTATGAAGCTTAGTTTGGCTGGATAGGAGATTCTGGGTTGAAAGTTCTTTTCTTTAAGGATGTTGAATATTGGCCCCCACTCTCTTCTGGCTTGTAGGGTTTTTGCTGAGAGATCTGCTGTGAGTCTGATGGGCTTCCCTTTATGGGTAACCCGACCTTTCTCTCTGGCTGCCCTTAGTATTTTCTGCTTCATTTCGACCCTGGTGAATCTGATGATTACGTGCCTTGGGGTTGCTCTTCTTGAGGAATATCTTTGTGGTGTTCTCTGTATTTCCTGGACTTGAATGTTTGCCTGCCTTGCTAGGTTGGGGAAGTTTTCCTGGATAATATCCTGAAGAGTATTTTCCAGCTTGGATTAATTCTCTTTGTCACATTCGGGTACACCTATCAAACGTAGATTAGGTCTTTTCACATAGTCCCACATTTCTTGTAGATTTTGTTCATTCCTTTTTACCCTTTTTTCTCCAGTCTTGCCTTCCCGTTTTATTTCATTGAGATGATCTTCGACCTCTGATATCCTTTCTTCTGCTTGGGCAATTCAGCTGTTGATACTTGTGTATGCTTCACGAAGTTCTCGTGTTGCGTTTTTCAGCTCCATCAATTCACTTATATTCCTTTCTATTTTGTCCATTATCGTTAGCATTTCATCAAATCTTTTTTCAAGGTTCTTAGTTTCTTTGCATTTGGTTAGAACATGTTCTTTAAGTTCACAGAAGTTTCTTACTACCCACCTTCTGAAGTCTGATTCTGTCATTTCATCACACTCGTTCTCCATCCAACCTTGTTCCCTTGCTGGTGAGGAGTTGTGATCCCTTTTAGGAGGAGAGGTGTTCTGGTTTCGGGTGTTTTCATCCTTTTTGTGCTGGTTTCTTCCCATCTTTAAGGATTTATCCACCTGTCGACTTCGTAGTTGCTGGCTTTCAGATTGGGTCTCAAATCTTTTAGATTGATGTTCTGTTTGTTGATGATGAGGTTATTTTTGTTTCTTGGTTTTCTTTCTGACAGTCTGATTCCTCTGCTGTAGGGCTGCTGAGGTTCACTCCAGGCCCTGCTTGCCTGGGGTTCACCTGCAGCAGCTGCTGAACAGCAAGGGTTGTTACCAGTTTTCTTCTTCTGCTGTCTTTGTCCCAGACGGATACCCGCCTAGTGTCAATCTGATCTCTCTTTTATGAGGTGTCTTTTTGGTTATATAGGTGTCAGGGAGCTGCTTGAGGAGACGGTCTCTTCTTTATAGGAGCTCAAATGGTGAGCTGCGAGCTCTGTTGTTGTTCATTCAGAGCTGCTGGGCACGTACTTTTAGGTCTGCTGCAGCAGAACTCATAAACTGCTTTTTGTTCCCAGGTGCTCTGTCCCAGGGATTTAGGGCTGTATTTATGAGTTTCTGTTATGCTGCCACTTTCTTTTTTTTTTTTTTTTTTCCTTCAGACCTGCCCAACCCAGCAAGGGGGCAGCCTAGTCACTGTTGGCCTATAGCAGCTTTGCTGAGCTGCTGTGGGCTCCGCCCAGCTGCCGAGTGAACTTCCCTGCAGTCCTGTTTATATGGGTGTAGTTCAAACTGCTTTGGTGATGGTGGCCCACCTCTGTTGCGGCGGAGTCTCTGCTGTGGCGTGTTGCCTTGGCGACGGCGGGGTGCCTCAGCAATGGCGGGTTGCCTTGGCAACGGCGGGCTGCCTCGGTAATGGTGGACGCCCCTCCCCCACAGAGCTGGACCGTCCTGGGTTCAGCTGCGCTTGCTGTGAAACTCTCAATCCAGAGTTTCTAGTTGCTGTTCTTTTGTGGGGGTGGGGCCAGCCGAGCTTGATCGCTGGCTCCCTGCCTCAGAGCCTTTTTTAAGTTAGTGTTCCAGTCGCTTGTTGAAGAGGCGCCGGGGTCTGCTTGTTTTCCCCTGCAGCCACTCACTGCGCTGGCTTAAACAGCAGCAGTGAGGTTTGTGGCGCTTTTTTTTTTTTTTTTGGCCCTGGAATCTACTGTCCTCGTTCTCTGCTCAGTCCCCTTTTTGAACCAGCAAATGGGCGACTTCCCATGGCTCCAATCGCCAGGCAAAAGGGCACCTGGACCAGTGTATTTTGTACGGAGAACCATGGCTCTGGGGTGCTGACAAAGCAGCGGCGCGGGACAAAGCAGCGGTGCCGGCCGGCACAGCCATGCTGGCTGAAACAGCTGTGCTGGCGACCATGGAGCTCCTTCTCCCGGGAATTTCCTAGTCTGTGGGCAATAAAAACACGGCGTCCACTCACCCTCTGCGCTTTCACTGGGAGCTGCGATCTGGAGCTGTTTCTAAACGGCCATCTTGGATCCGACCACAGAAGTTCTTTTTAAAAATAGAAACTGTAAGGCCAGCTGCCTCGCAGAGGGTTAAACAGACACATCCATCTCTCTCCATGCCTAATAACTGTGTCATCACCCAAGCTCGTTATGTGGCCTTGCTGCATGGCTTCCCCACAGCTGCCTACGCATACCAGACCCAAGGCCACATTCAGCGCTAAATCATGCACCCAACCCCCAGCCCACTGTTAAAAAACCCTGCAGAAAAATTTTTAAAGAAACCTCATCAGACCCTGCCCGGTAGCAGCCTGCTCTGCATGCCCCCAGAAGGCCCACTTGCCCAAGGTCTTGCCCGCCTATCCATGACCACTAGCTCCAGGTATTTCCTGCTTCTTAATAGCCAATAAGATTGCCTTCACTTTGTTTCCCCAACAGTCAATCAAGGCCCACTTATCCAAAGTCCCACCAACCTACCAATGGCAACTAGTTCCAGGCATTTCCTGCTTCCTGACAGCCAATACAATTGCCTTCGTTTTGTTTCGCCATTAGCCAATCATTCGCCTTCCCTCCCCATAAAACCCCATGACCTGAACAGCTGGGCGTGACTTCTTTGGCCCCTTCCTGGACCACAGAACCTCGCCCTGGAGCTGAATAAATTAGCTTCTCATTTTCTTATACTTGCCTCAGTTTCCTCATTTTACCTCGGCAATAAATCTTACAGAAACCATATAGAGTAACTTCTGGATGTTGCCATAGCATTTGTAACTGTGGTGATAACCTGAGGTCACTTTCCTCACCATCTTGGTTCCAGTGATTTGAGTTGGCTTCTTTCGTGCAACCTGTCTTGTCAGCAGGGTCTTTATGACCTGTATCTTGTGACATCAGTATGGTCTGGCTGACTTTTTATCTCATCTTGTGGCTAAGAATGCCTAACCAAAGCCCAGCATGGCTCATCCTCATTTTACCAAGCCCCTATTCAAGATGGAGTCACTCTGTTTCTAACATCTCTGACTTAGGGTGGCTTCAGAGTTGGGGTGCAGATTGGGGGGCAGATCAGCAAAATGAACCCTGAGAAAAGCACATAGAATCACTTAAGGGCTGTGAGGTGAAAGATGAACTCACATTGGCATTTGGTCAGTGACTCTAGCTGTAATGAAAATAGAATGGAGAGGCCTGGGACAGGAAGACAGGATGGGGTTGCTAGTGTCATCCTGGTGGGAAGATCTAAATGAGTTACTGTGGGGATAAAGAGGAGAGACAGATTCATTGTTACTTTATGATGTAGAACACATCAGACATGGAGAGGGCTTGGAGCTGTGTGTGAGAAAGTAGATCTATCTCGGGTGGCTCCCAAAAAACTGGCTGAGAATTTAGATGAAGAATTATTATCAAATAAAAGGGAAAGACTGAAACAATATTTTCATTATATATATATATATTTATTTTTTCGCCCAGGGTTGGGATAGGTGGAAATGTGTGCGTGTGTGTGTGTGTGTGTGTTTAAATATTCACTAAGTTTTCAATCAAGAATATTTGCTGAGTGACTATTAAGTAATAATAATATACAGGTTTTAGTGTTACCACGACGAATCAAATTGTCAAGGTCACAGATATCTTTTTGTTTTGTGTAGATCACTATGAAAGTTATCACACTAACTTTTTTCTGAATCATGCAGATTAAAGCATTAAACACATACACAAACTTATACATGTTTGTATGTGTATAAGTGTGTGTGTGTGTGTGTGTGTGTGTGTAATCTTATATCAGCACACAATGCCACTGAAACTACACTTGTGGATTAGGTCCTCAGAAAAATAATTGTGTTAACATTTATGATGCAAATAGAATGGTTTCTGACACAAAGTAAGTGATGTAAAAGAATATTTGAGGCCAGGTGCGGTGGCTCATGCCTGTAATCCCAGCACTTTGGGGGGCTGAGACAAGTGGATTACCTGAGGTCAGGAGTTTGAGACCAGCCTGGCCAACATAGTGAAACCCCGTCTCTACTAAAAATATAAATATTAGGCAGGCATGGTGGTGGGCGCCTGTAATCCCAGCTACTCAGGAGGCTGAGGCACAAGAATTGCTTGAACCCTGGAGGCAGAGGTTGCAGTAAGTCAAGATCGTGCCACTACACTCCAGCCTAGGCAATAAGAGCAAAACCTATTCTCAGAAAAACCCCTCAAAAACAACAAAAAAAGAATATATGAATTGCTAAATAATGGACTGTGAGTAGAGGGTATAGACAGGGTGTCTTGGAACTTCTGGGTTCACTTGCTGATTTTTTTCATAAAACACTAACCCTTCTACTCTTAACCTCCCCCATTCCTAATTTCGCCATTACGTGTACAGCCCACCTGGTGCAGGAACCTGGTCACCCTGGTGGCTCCTCTCTGGGCTGTGGCTCCTGTCTGCCTCTGGGAAGAGTGGTGTCCTTGGTCATCTTCCTCATGTCCACAAAAGAAGCACACCTTTCCTTCTTTAATAATGATGGCCTCTTTTTAAAAATAATTTTCCTGTGCATTTCTATTAAAAATCTCACCCCATCATGGCTATTATGGGGACAAGTGTTGAGGGTCACAGAGCCTGGCCTGCTGTGGGGGATGTGGAGTGTGATGAGAGAGAGCAGCAGGTGCCCTCAGGCTGATATGGAGGCTGGGGAGGTTTGCTTTCATTCTCTTCTGGCCACTGGGCACAGGACATGTTATCTCTGAGGGTCACTCACTTGTGGCCCCAACCACAACAAAATCTAAATGGGGAAAAAGCAGAGGATGACCTCATGCCAAGGAGACCACATCTTTGCAGCAAGAAATGTGCTGCAAAGGTGAGCACCATGTAGCACAAAGAGCCTGGGGTGGGGATGGAGGGGCATCAGCCCTGCCTCTATGACGGGATGGTGTGTGCAAGGCAGTGATGAGAGCTAGCATTGTTCCAGGACCTTCAAGCCAGTCAGGAACAAACCTGGGCTCTGAGTGGAGGAAACTGTGGCCTGTCCCTGAGGGTCTGTGGGTGTCTCAACTGGGAAACCAGGCCCTGGACCTCTGCTCTAGGCCCTCTGCTCTGTTCTTCCTCGTCCCCAGCAGCTGGAACCTCCCAGGGCCAGAAGAGGCTCCCCTAGCCCCACCCCACACTCAGCCTTCCCCAAGTTCAGGCCCAGGGACATCAGGGGGTGGGGTATGAGTTGCATGAAGGGTGCTCTCTGTACTCTTGGGAGTAGACGATAAGAGAGACTCTGTGCAGTTCTGCTCAGCTGTGGGCTTAGGAAGCAGAGCCTGGGGCATCTCCACCATGGCCTGGACGCCTCTCCTCCTCAGCTTCTCACCCTCTGCTCATTTGGCCTGTGAAAGGCCAAAATGATTATTGGGGACACGGGTTGATTTTTTCCTTATATTTTAACATTGTGGGGTGGGTAGTAGCCCCAGACTAACCTCTCTGTGCCTCCTTCCTCTGATGCAGGGTCCTGGGCACAGTCTGGGCTGACCCAGGAAGCCTCCGTGTCAGAGTCTGTGGGACAGAAGTTCACCCCTCCTGCACTGGAAACAGCAACAACATTGGACGTTATAATGTGGGCTGGTACCAACAGATTTCTCACAGTGCTCCCAAAACTGTGATGCTTGGAAATTATCGGCCCTCAGGGATCCCTGAGCACTTCTCTGGCTCCTAGTCTGGGACCAGAGCCTCCCTGACCATCTCGGGCCTTCAGCCTGAGGGCAAGGCTGATTATTACTGTTCAGCATGGGACAACAGCCTCAGTGCTCACAGTGCTGCAGACACATGGGGAACTGAGACAAAAACCTGCCCTTGGCCTGTCCTGAGGCTGATCACCCCATACTTGCCTGGGACAAACAAGGAGGTGTCTGTGGCTGGTCCTACACTTTAAACATAGGAGGACGTGAAATTCAGCCACAGGCCCTTGCAATGGGTCAGTGGGCCTTGTTCCCATATAGTCTGTCTCTATTTGAAAAATTGAGATAAATTTCACTTAGTATAAAATGTACAATTACATTGTCTTATTGTGTTTACATAATTATGCATCTATCACAATAATCTAATTTTAAAACATTTTCATCACCCCACGAAAAACCCCACAATTAGCAGTCACCCTTCACCCTTTCTCCCCAGCCTCTGGTCACCGCTAAGGACTTTCTGTAAAGAACATGCATTTAAAGACCTAAGTAACTCAGTGATGCTAAACAGGTAGATTTTTTTAAAAATGCCTAAACATGTCATAATAAATTACTGAAGCTTATTACAAAATTATGAAAGCAGACAGAAAGCTTTATAATATATACAGAAAATCAACAATTCAAACATTGATAGATATTTTATGAGTATACATCCAAGACCAAATGGCAGTGTTGTATTCTTACAATGTCAAAACAAACAATGAAAGGACTCTTGAGTCATAAGGCTATATCTAGTAAATATTTGTTTTAAAAATAGGTAAAAAAATGAGACCTTGTCAGATGAAGAACACCTAAAACATTTTACCTCTTGTAGATATGTTAAAAAAAATTAAAACAAATCAACTCTAAAGGAAATTTTCAGGTGAAAGATAAACAATAATAGAGAGAAACATTGAACCCAAAGAATGCAGGAAGAATAAACAATAATTATAGTAGTAAAAGACCTGATTTTTAGTTTTTAAGTTCTGTAAATTATCCATATCAAAAGCTAAATTATAGCATCTTTGCTATAATTTCTATTTATAAAAAATATACTCTATATAACAATTTCAACTGAAAGAGGGGACTGTAAAAGGTCTATGTGATGGGGAAAATATTAGGCCTATTATTAAATAGAAATAGATCATGAATAGTTACACATACATGTTGTAATCTTTATAGCAACCAGTGTAAAATTGTACAGAGATACCAACATAAAACCAAGATAAAAATCAAAAGAGATTACTAAATGATGTTCAAATAATCAAAAAGTAGCAGAAACAGGGCAAAGGATAACAATCGTGGAGACAAAAAGAAAACTTATATTAAAATTGTAAGCTTAAATCCAACCATGTGAATCATTTTATTAAATGTAAATGAAACCAGCACATATATTAAAACACAGAATTTGTCACACTGAGAAAAGTGAAAAGCAAAAGACAAGCATGTGATTCTACAGTAAATTTTAAATGGAAGTATAACACAAAAGTAAAATGATAACACAAATAAACACATAGTTAAAATGGCATAAAGCAAAGCATTACTTCAATGTTAATTGCATCATTCTGATATTGTATATTGTGTATTATATTGTAAGATAGCACTATTGGGGGAAACTGGGTGAAGTGTTAACTAAATCTTCATTACATATTTTTTGACCTTAATGTGTATCTATAATTATATTTACAGAAAACATTACATGAAAGTAAAAGGATGGAAAAGTTTTATCACGTAATCCTTAAATAATAACATAAACAGGCCAGGTACCGTGGCTCACACCTGCAATCCCAGCACTTTGGGAGGCTGAGGCAGGCAGATCACAAGCTCAGGAATTTGAGACTAGTCTGACAAACATAGTGAAACCCCTCTCTACTAAAAATACAAAAAATTAGCTGAGTGTGGTGGTGTGCACCTGTAATCCCAGCTATCTGGGAGTCTGAGGCAGGAGAATTGAGAGAACCCAGAAGGCAGAGAACACACCATTGCACTCCAGCCCAGGCAACAGTGTGAGACTCTGTCTCAAAAGAAAAAAAAAAAAAGACAACACATAAACATACAATGTGGATATTTATTGTTTCTGTTGTTGTTTGAGAAAGAGTCTCACTCTGTTACCCAAGCTGAAGTGCAGTGGCTCAATCTTGGCCCACTGCAACCTCTGCTTTCCAGATTCAAGTGATTCTCCTGCTTCAGCCTCCTGAATAGCTGGGATTACAGGCATGTGCCACAATGACCCACTAATTTTTGCTTTTTAGTAGAGAAGGGGTTTTGCCATATTGGCCAGGCTGGGCTCGAACCCCTGACTTCAGGTGATCTGCCTGCCTCGGCCTACCAAAGTGCTGGAATTACAGGTGTGAGCCACCACACCTAGCTTATTTATTTATTTAAAGAGTATCTCACTCTCTTGCCCAGGCTGCAATGCAGTGGTGCAATCATGGCTCACTGCAGCCTCAACCTCCCAGGCTCAAGAAATCCTCCCACCTCAGATTTACAAGTAGCTAGGACTATGGGCAGGCACCACCATGCCTGGCTGATTATGTTTTTTGTAGAGACAAGGTCTCACTCTGTTGCCCAGGCTTGTCTGGGCTCAAGTGAACCTCCTGCTTTGGCCTCCCAAAGTGCTGGAATTATAGGCATTAACCACCACACCTGGCCCATTATAGATAATTCATGGGTAAAAAAATGTAATACTTGAACAACAGAGATGTTTTCTTATTATTTCCACATAGCTGGATACTAACTGTAAGACATTGGGATGTATTTTTGAATGAGAAATGAAGGCTTAAAAAGAGATAAAATAAGAAAAAATATAAGAGCCTAAAACTGGTGAGGAGTTTCCCTAATACACGAGCAGTAGAAATAGTTTATTTTTTTGCACCCAGGATACTAAATAGTGGAAAGATAAATTTATTTTTTTTTTGGCTGGGCGAGGTGGCTCAAGCCTGTAATCCCAGCACTTTGGGAGGCCGAGGCAGGTGGATCACTAGGTCAAGAGATCGAGACCATCCTGGTCAACATGGTGAAACCCCGTCTCTACTAAAAATACAAAAAATTAGCTGGGCATGGTGGTGCATGCCTGTAATCCCAGCTACTCAGGAGGCTGAGGCAGGAGAATTGCCTGAACCCAGGAGCGGAGGTTGCGGTGAGCCGAGATCATGCCATTGCACTCCAGCCTGGGTAACATGAGTGAAACTCCGTCTCAAAAAAAAAAAAATTTTTTTTCTTGATTTTTTTTGTGGTTGCTCTATTCCATCTAATTTAAAAGCTTATTACTCTATGCTATGCTGATGGAAGACAAGTCTTCTCTACGTTAGTTCCAGTGAGACTGTCTCCCTTGGGCCAACAATCCTCATCTAGAACTTGGAATTTTGATAAACGCATTCTGAGGTGGTGAGCAGCAGCACCAGAAAAGTTGATCCAGGCCATCTAGGACTCTCCAGGGAAGGGCTTAGGCCTGTCAGAGTGACTTGATAGAAACTGGGGCCCTGCAGTCAATCTGGGACATTGAAACTCTCCTGACATGGTCCCACGAGCTGGGAAAACACCCAGGGTCTCCTTACAGTTTGATCAGATGGCAAATTCTCCAAACTTTGATTGGCCCAAAGCTTAGATCTGCTAGGATCTGAGGTCTATCAAAAGCCAGGCATTCTCTGCCCATTGGAAATTTTTCTATGTCTCAGCTCTTCTCCTCTTCTCATTTTCCTGTTGGCCTGGGAGCATTCAGGCCAAGAGGTGAGGTGGAGACAACCCTACATTAAGTTTCTTTTCAAGGTAGAAAATCTGTCCCCTTGATTGGGAAACTGTAAAAAGACTAGGGCAGCTCAGTGTCTAAAGTAGAGCTTCAGGGGGTATAGAGTCAGAATGTAGAAACTTCAATTCCATTTACTCTCTAGCAACTTACCTAATATCAAAACACATGGTTATGCCATGTTCACAAATATGCATGCACATCTATTGATATGTGTTCATAAGTACATACACAAGCACCATGACAGGCACATCTATTGATATGTGTTCATAAGCACATACACATGCACCATGACATGTACACATGTATGCATGTGCACACCAACTGATGTAAAAATCATTGTTTTATATACTCAATTTTCCTTTGAGTTTACTCTTTTTTATACACTTTTAAAAATGTTTATTTTTAATTTGGGGGACAACTTACTGACATTATTTTTCATCTTGCTGAAAAAAATGGCTTTAGAATTTCCTTTAGAGGCCGGGCGCGGTGGCTCAAGCCTGTAATCCCAGCACTTTGGGAGGCCGAGGCGGGTGGATCACCAGGTCAAGAGATCGAGACCATCCTGGTCAACATGGTGAAACCCCGTCTCTACTAAAAATACAAAAAATTAGCTGGGCATGGTGGCGCGTGCCTGTAATCCCAGCTACTCAAGAGGCTGAGGCAGGAGAATTGCCTGAACCCAGGAGGCGGAGGTTGCGGTGAGCCAAGATCGCGCCATTGCACTCCAGCCTGGGTAACATGAGTGAAACTCTGTCTCAAAAAAAAAAAAAAAAAAAAAAAGAATTTCCTTTAGAGCCATTCTGTGGGTGTCAAATTCCATTGGTTTTTGTCTGAAAAGTAACCATTTTCTTATATTTTTTCTATTCAGTGTATGGAAAGATAACTTACAAAAAGTAAAACTCACAGGTCTTAATTATACAGCTTGATGTGCTTTTACAAAAGCAAATGGCCATGTAGCCAACAGTCCAGTCCATTCTCACATTTCCATGACTGTAGAATGCAAACTTTCTGCTCCAGTCAATGTCAATGATCCCATGACAACTACCAGGTAGAATGTGTATGAGAGACACCTTTCTCCTGAGGACTCCTTACAAAGTGGGATGTATCGTGTGTCCTGTTC